TCATCTATTCATCTGCTTCATTTTTGTATTCTATCCCAACAACGATTTTTCTTGAAAAGAACATCGATCGAACTGATCTCTGACAATTTCACAAAAACGTATTTTTCTGATTTGCATACGATATATAAGAGATTAAATCGCAACTTTTCCTGGGACAATTTTCGTAAATTATTCGAGCGAAGCTGTTACGAGACTGGTGGTAGTTATGCAATCAATTAATATGTAATCGTGATACATCAATTACAAATCTATAGCTACGGTAATAATGGAAACCACAGTTACCAGATTAAAGAATAGAGCCAGAACTTATAAAATCGGAAATTGTGTTTTCCCGTTTTGTACATTAGATGCCAAGATGGAAATATGATCGCCTCCAGTGTTGTTAATTTTTCATTTTAATCGTCAACAATGCCTGGATTAATCGATTTATCCTGACAGATGCTGATATCCTAACTTTTATGATATTGCGAATAGTACCAAATCCGTTAATCTAAAAGCTCCCATATACGTTGAAATATGCGGCGATGCACGAATCGACTTTTAGGTTTCATGAAACCTGCATCAGAGTTAGTTTATCTCCACGCTACTGATTCTTCGTGTGAGTTTTTCGTGTGACGCCAATGTTGAAACACGTATTTTAAAATTGACGGATTATCTTCCAGCTCTAATATTACTGTTAGTAATAGGAGGTTTATTAAAAAATAGAAAGAAATTAAATACTAAAAAGAAATAGGCAAAAAGATGGTTAATCCAGAGAAATAAATTTTCCAATTCCGTGCTATTAAGTATAAAATTAGTTTTAATGTTAGAGTTTTTTATATTGTCCTCCAATGTATGATTCTAGCTAGCAATTGATAATTTCAACCGAAAATTCTGTTTATTTTCCTTTGTATTTTCCGCAAAAGGTGTTGCTGTTAAACTATTCAATTAACAATTTGCTGTGAGTTCAAGTAAGAACACTTCCACTTTGAAAGAAAACTATCGTGAAAACTATCGTGAAAACCATCTTGACAAGTTACATGCATGGGATCTGGCCATGGAGATATGCCACATGTTCATTTTGCATAATTGATGCCATAATGTATAGTTAGAGAATCCAAGCAAGAGTTTACAGTCATTTTCATTTTGATATGCTTTAGTTTTCATGGCAGACGAAGGTATAGTTCTTGAATTGAAAGAGAGATTTTATAAATTCGATGTTGAATTAAGTTTTTGCATTTTCGCATTTCAAGGTAAGTAGTTAGCATGTAACTATGTGTAGCAATATCAATCATATATTGTATGTTGTTTTTTTGTAAATTTTAAAGCTAATTCAGGTTGATCGATGCTGGGTAAAGAAACAATGTGTTATAACGCGAACTGAGTTTCGTCTAATATCGGGATTCGTATTTCAAAACAAAGTTTACCACTTTTTAATACAACAATGGACATTTAACTTGTCTGTAGAAAAAGAAAGTAATTTTCAGCAATGGGTTGAGCTATCTGTAATGGTTTCATGTAATTGCAAGTCGGTCAATAAGTTTTTGGATGTATTTGCCCAAGTTGAGCGTGCATTATTATCGCTTCGAGTAACTTGTTCAGCATATTCGTTAATAGCACTTTCAATATAAATTGTCATATTGATTATTATTATTAAGGATTGTTTGTTAAATTCATCAAGTTTTTTATTAATTTGCTTATTAATTTCGGTTGAATGTTTATCTAGTTCCTGTACAAGTTTAGCTGAATCCCGATAATGAATGTTCTTAGGATGTGAGTTTCGTTTTTTACAAGCTTACTTAGGTAATTATTATTTTCTATAACTTTGCCTGCGCGTTATAATATGTTGCATTTGATTCTAAGAAAGTATCAAAGAGCGTTTTTGCTATTTCACCCACAAAATCAAAAAACCCGCGTTTACTTTTACGTTGGTGTATGTTACTGCCTATGCTATTGAAAAGATTTTTTCGATATACTTTCTATTGATTAAACCTATTAATTTGTATATTGAGTAAAGGCTCATTAAAATGTTTTTGATTGGGTTGATACAGCTCATTTTTATTTTTGATTCGAGGTCTAGCAAGTCACTTAGGTTGTAAAATACTACCACTTTCCATTCTTGGTGATGCACTCATCCCATTGGATCAAAATATAAATTTGGTAGATCTTTGAAGTCACTTATTTCATATCCGCGATTGCCCGAGTGGTACTATAACAAAGTAATTAATTACAATTATTTTAATCAATATTAGTGTATTTTATGCGATTTACATGCGTGATATAATGCTTGTTTCCTTTCAACAATTTTACATTTTGTTCCAAGATCACTTTAATGATTTCATACGGCCCTTCCCATGGTAAGTTCATAGGATTTTTTATACGTTTGTTTTCTCCAGTCTTCAACTATACTTTATCACCAACTGAGAAGTTTCGTTCATTTATAACTTTGCATAACTGATAACTTAAATCATTTATAACTTGAACATATTTCTGTCTGGTTTCTTCTTTTATTTTTGACTAACTTGTTGTATATTTGAATAACTTATTGCGAATGATGCGTTGTTTTAACGTACGAAAATATTCATCATATGTGATACCTTGATCGTCTATTTCGCTCAAGACGTTAGGTTTATAGCCAAGAATTAAATTAATTTGAACGGTGTGAAGTCGGTAACTGTATATGTCGTTGAGTTATATGTATGTGCAAAGAAAGGTAGTAATTCTGTCCAATCCATACTGTTGTTATTAATTCGTAGAAATTCTTTGAGAGTTGCATGCATTCATTCGATACTACCATTTGATTGTGGATGAAAAGGCGAAGTTTTTAAATGGGTTATGTTAACATAATTGTGTAAATCGTTGAATTAATTTGCTAGCAAAATTCTGTCCGTTATGTGTTAATATTTGATTCGGTATATCAAATAAGAAACGTATTGTTTTACAAAATTATCGATAGTTCTGCGTTGGCCTCAATTAAGGAGCACGAAACGGCGTACTTCGTTAAACAGTCTTGTATCGATAAAATATAACGGTGTCCTAACTCATCTGGTATAAAAGGTCCTATAATGTGTAATGCAATTTTATCGTTAAAATGTTTAGGTGTGTCAGTTAGTCGTAGTGGAGCTTTATAAGTCTTTGTCTATCTTTTCCTATTGGCATCTAGTACATTTACTGATATATTCTCTAACATTTTCGTAGATTCCTTTCCAGTAATAATTGTAATAAAATTGCCTTCAAAGTTTTATTAATTCCTTGATGTCCAAATTGCAACCTATGGAAGTTATGTAAAATTTGTAACTTTTCATTTTCATTCTCAGGTTGTTCTAGTATGTCGCCAGTCATTTTCATGGTAATCAAAGGATCATTGAATATGGTTCGAAAAATATCTTCTAGTGCCTTCTTTGAATAAGTTATATAGCTTATTTATATTAAAATGAATCAAGTTGTTTTCCTGGGCTACACTATATCTAATGTATTCTAATAGATTTTGAATATTATTGAATATTATCAAATTTAGTAATATTCGCAATGATTGCTAATATTTTATTATTTTCGTCTTCGATAATTTTATAATCGTTAACTTCCGATTGCTCGAAATGAATTGAGGTAGCGTTTTCCGAAGGTTGTTTGACAAATTTAAAATGTTTACGCCAACCTGGTTTGCTCGTCTCAACGAAATTTACCGGGTTGCAGCTAAGGCATCTAAATTTGATTTGCCTTTCTTATTGAATTTCATACTCATATTCTTCAAGTTGTATTCGCCAACGCATCAGTCGCGATGATGGATCTTTTACGTTCATCAACTACTTCAGTGGTTCGTGATCGGTGATTATTACAAATAATTTTTCTAATAGATATAGCCTAAAATGTTTTACTGACCAAACTATTGCAAAAAGCTTCTTCTCAGTTGTTGAATGATGTTGCTCAGATTTATTTAGACTTCTGGAAGTGTACGCGACAGGCTATAAATTGCCTTTTTCATTTTTCTATTCCAATATAGCGCACAATGCATTATTACTTGCCTCGGTAGTTAGAAAGAAATTGTTTATTGTAATCAGGGAATTTTAAAATAGAACTGTTGCATAAATCGTGCTTTAATATCTCAAGTGCTTCGTTTACTTCACAATTCCATTGGAATTCTGTATTTTTCTTTGTTAATTCGTTCAAAGGACGTGCTTTTTTTTGAAAAATCTTTCACAAATTTTCTATAATAGTTGGCTAACTCAAGGAATTGTTGCAATTGTTTTAAATTTCTAGGTTTTTGGAAGGATTTTACTGCATCAAGTTTATCAGGATTAGATAAAACGGACCTTTGTCCGTTATTATATGTCCGAGATATTGATGGTCAGGTTTTAAAAATTCACATTTATAGGGTTCAAGTTTTAAACTTATATCATGAAAACGTTTTTAAATTGGAAAAGTGTTTTTAAATTATTGTTATGATCTTCGATTGATTTGCCAAAAACAATGACATCATCGAGGTAAACGAAACAATTTCCCTACAAAATCCCGTAATGCATTGTCCATCATATGTTGAAACGTCGCAGATGCATTTCTCAATTCAAATGGCATTCTATTAAAATGATAATGTCCATGTGGCGTTGAAAATGTCGTTTCATATTTAGACACGTCATCCATGCTAATTTGATCGAAGTTAAATCAAAGGCTGAAAAATATCGACAATTGCCTAGTTGATCTAAAATATCGTCAATATTTAAGAGGGTAATTATCATGGGGTGTTTTCTCGTTTAGTTTTCTAAAATCAACTACCACGCAATATTTTTGTGTTCCGGATACGTCACGCTTCTTTGGTACAATCTATAAGGGAGAATTGTATGGTGAATCACTCTCTTCGATTACTCACTCTCTTCCTTTATTTAACATTTCGTTTGTTTGCTTTTCGATTTCGTTCTTATGTGATTCAGAATATCTATAGTTTTTACGGGCAAGTTATCAGTAGTTTCTATGGAATGTTTTACTAACTTTAGTTTGAGGCAATTCGTGACCGAGTAAATGAAAGATATCTTTTATTTATGTTTCAAATTTCGCTTCTATCTTTTTTCATTAACGTTGGTCCAAACGAACGTTTTCTTTTAACAAATCTAAGCGTTTTTATGTTTCATCAATGTATGTTTTTTGTGGTTGATGTTTTGTATGTAATGTAACGTTCTTGTCTCCTATAATGATTTTATTGGGAAAGATATAGGACACCTACTAATCCATCGAAAGATATAGAGAAATTACTTGGAACTATACCAAAATACTGTTCCTTGTATACTGCATTAAACGAGATTCTATATAGACTGTTAGAAATGCCTCTGATAAATGCCTCTGTATTACACGGCTCGATCAGACAACCAAAAGCAGCGTTCTTTTTAATAAGGTTGATTGTAGAACCAGTGTCTATAACAAATCTTTTTGTTCCTGTTGCGAATTCGAGTTCAATTGTTAACTCGTTATCGTTTCGTGTCATGTACGTTTTTCGTTTCTCGAGGTTGGAACTCGCAAATTTGTGTTATTTAGGCAGTTAGAGGCATAGTGATTGCCCTGACATTTGTGACATATTATATGGGGAGGAATTGTTGATTGCACAAAAGGGGATTTAGGATAATAAGATTGATTCCTATGATTCGTATGTGGACAGTTTGAGGCGTAATGATTGCCTTGATATTTGTAACACGTTATATGAGGAGGAATTATTGGTCGTACAGGAGAAAGTCTGGGATCGTAAAGTTGTTTCATCTGGCGTGTATTAGTATGCGTGTTGAATGCGTCTCGCGATGAATCGTTATATTGTGAATATTTTTCTGTCAATCTGTAGAAAACTCTTTGTTCACGTTCGAACTCTAATGCAGCATCTATTATTCTTGTAACGTAGATAGCTACGTTGATTTAACGGCAGTTTGGGCATTCTCGCGCAAGCCGCGAATGAATTGTTTGCGAGCTATTTCATCTTCAAACTTCATGAGATATTGTTTTCCTTTTTCTGATCGCAACGGATCGTTACGAATTGCATGTTTAACGTTTGTTTGGCGTTTACTAAACCTTTTTAC